ACTGTAAAGTAGATTTACTGGCCCCTCTGGATGCTCCAAGGTTTGTTTTTATTATCATATTTATTTTATGTAAATTGTTTAATTTGATTTAATTTTGTTCTATTTTATGTTACTTTAGAAATAAAAATATGTATTCATTTTTACATTAATAATATTTCCATGCAAATTGTAAAGTACATTAACTGGCCTTTTGTAAAGATCCGTATTTTATTTTAGGGTTTGTTTTGTCTTTTTGTTGTTGTTGCTGTTGTTGTTGTTTTTTGTTTTTTTTTAACACAATTTACACATCAGTTACACTTTATTTTTTTAACCTGATCCAGGGTGAACTTTGTCTTAGCTTTTAGACCAATATGTAAAAGAAGTTCTTGTAAATGTTCAAATTTCCATTTTTCTGAGCACTTTAGGAAAAAAAAAATGTAAATGTGAACATTTTCTATTCCAGACTCCATCTGGTGACAATAAAACTTCTTATTTTCGCCTCCATCCGCCCCGACTGAGAAGCATTTAAATATGCCATTTACGTCCGAATAAATTTGAATGCCACCACACTTAAACTAGAAAAACAAATGGCAGCTCCCTCGTATTCAAACTGCAGCTCAGAAGTCGGCTGCGTTTGGGTTTTGATTTACCTGCAGACTGAACCCAGAGCTTCTTACCTCGGTGCAGCTCAGCAGCATGATGAAGCTCAGAGGGACGCCGAGGACCAGCACCTTCAGCGTCTGCATCTTCTCGCTCTGTTTTCTTTGTCCTTTATGGCTGCCTCCGCCTTCCCGCCTCTGCTTTTATACCTGCAGCTGCTCATAACACTGATAACAGAAGAAAAAGCATCATAAAAAAAAGTCTCCCACCTGACCTTAAAGCATCAGATAAGTTCAGAGAGCATCACATGTAAATGTTCTGACAAGAGGAAGCGCTCCTGCTGTGTTTGGTTCATCAGCTTCAGGTTTCACTCGGTTTTCTTGCTGCTTCTCTGGAGGCTTCTGGACTCCAGGGACGGTCCCAGAGCGGTGCCACGTTACAGGACACATCACTGTAGCCCTCTTTTAACTCACAGCGGCCGCTAGCTTCCTGAAATACGCAAAAAAAACAAAATAAAAAGCTCTTTTATGAAATTCACAAACTGACTTCTGCACCAGAAAGCGGAGAAATCTCAAATTATCAAAAGAGTTCTGTTCATAAAGGTGAATTATTTAGCTTCACTCTGAACAGAAGGTCAAACTGTTTCCTGTTATTAACACATTAGTTTATGAATTTATCAGGGAGAAGCGTTTTTCAGCATCAGTTTATTTCTTCTCAGCAGCACTGAACATCAGTTTTCAGTGAGTTTGCTCGTTTGTTGTTTTTGGTTTATCTGAGACAAACAGCGAGTCTCCGTCCTGTAACCATGACTGTTGGTGAGTTTTCATCCGGCTGCATGTTGGAAAGTTCGTTGTGCAGATTTTTCTTTCTGAACTTTTTCCGTCCTGCAGAAGGTGAAACGTCCACGTCAGCGCCCACAGAGTTCTCACAGGAGCTGCTATGTTGTGAACCATCAGCTCCACTCTGAGTCAAAACCGTCCTTTAATGAACTCACACTAAACGGTGGACTTTAGGTGAGCTGCTGTGTGGATGGAAACACAATCTGTTTAACTTGTGACTTAATTCAGATGGAATCCAGCCACAGAAACCTGCCGCCTTTCTCCGATAACACAAGAATTACTCGCTTACACATTTTTCCCGCCTCGTGAACGTTGCCTCTGATAAAAACACGGTGAATGAAACACGTTTGTCTGTTGACTGAGCTGCTGGAAGCAAACGCTGAGGAATGTGGACCTCCGGTATTCAGATACGAAGCTGCTCCTGAACAAAACAACAGCAGCAGCGTTTCTGTTTTTATTCCTCTAAATATTAGCGACACAAAAAAGGCACGACTACACGTCACATCACAAAACCTTTATTAACACACATTCACTGAAGATCAGCTTTTTCATTTACTTCAGTTTGAATGTCTGACTTCAAATACAGGTTCTTTAATGATCCAAGCCCATGTGTTCGGGCCAAACCCACTTAGAACCCATATTGTAGCCCATTAGGGTCCCACAGAGGCCCGGTCAGATCCCCCTTCATGACACACAGGTGGGGCCCAAGTGGGTCTCTGGTCTATTGCCCAGTTGGACCCCATTTAGAAAACATTCTGATCCCAGTTTGTATCCACAGGGGCAAACATGTGGGGCCTGTATGGGTCTTGTGTAGCTCACCCACTTGGGGCCCACCTGAATCCCAGTCAGAACCCACTTAGAACCCATATTGTAGCCCACTAGGGCCCCACAGAGGCCCGGTCAGAACCCTCTTCATGACACACAGGTGGGGCCCAAATGCGTCTCAGATATATTGCCCAGTTGGACCCATTAAGGGTCTATGTGGAACCCACATGTGGGGCCTGT